TGGATGACTTCTTGTATTCTTCATCGAGTCATCCCTAATCTTCCTCAACTCCTCATTCTACATCCTTTCTTCTTTGATAGCCCCCCAGTCTACCATCAGTGGTACTGAAATTGTCATCCCTTGAAACTCTCCAATACACCTTGATAAAGCATTAGCCGCCTTATTTTTCAAACATGGCATGTACTGGATCTAAAAATCATAGCCAAGCAATTTGGACAACCACCTTTGATTCTCCACAGTCACCATTCTTTGTTCTAGCAAATATTTCAAGCTCCTTTGATCTTTCCTGACAATAAAATATCAACCCAGCAAGTATGGACGCCACTTTTGAATGGCTAACACGATGGCCATCAATTCCCGCTCATATACAGACTTCAGTCTGGCCCTAGTTGTCAACACATGGCTGAAGTAGGCTATGGGCCTATGATTCTGCATCAGCACCGCCCCCAACCCATATACTGATGCATCTGCCTCCACTACAAAAGTATGACTGAAATCAGGTAAAGCCAAAACTGGTATTGAGGTCATTGCCTTCTTAAGTTTCTCAAAAATCTCTTCCCCCCATAAGAAGGTGTCCTTCTTTAACTGCTCTGTCAAAGGCCAAGCTGTGTTGTTGTACCCCTTCACAAACCTTCTGTAATAACCCGTAAATCCTAAGAAACACCTTAGCTCCCTCAAGTTCCTAGGTAGAGACCACTTCTTCATTGCTTTAATTTTTGTTTGATCAGCTGCGACCCCCTCCTGAGATACCATGTGCCTCAAGTACTCCACACTAGTCTGTGTGAAGCTATACTTCTTCAAGTTAGCCCTGAGCTGATGCTCTTGTGGAACTCCAAAGACCACCCTTAAATGCTCCAGATACTCCTCTTTGGTCCTACACAAGTATGTCATCAAAGAAAACTAAGACAAACCTGCGTAGGTACGGCATGAACACCCTATCTATCAATGACAGGAAGGTAGCAGGGGCGTTTGTAAGCCCAAATAGCATCACCAAGAATTCGTAATGCCCCTCATGCATTTTGAAAGCCGTCTTCTGAATATCCTCCCTCTATCTAGATTCGATGGTAGTCTGACTTCAAGTCCATCTTGAAAAACACCAATGCTCCACACAGCTCATCCAATAGTTAATCGATCACAAGGATTGGAAACGTATCAAGCACAATCTCCTTATTCAATGCCCTGTAATCCACATAAAATCTCTCACTCTCATTCTTCTTTTAGACCAGTAAGACTGGAGAAAGGACTCACATTTGGCCTTATGATCCCCGCTTCCAACATCTACCGGATCAGCTTCTCAATCTCATTCTTCTGAATTTGGGGGTAGCGGTATGGCCATAAATTAATCGGAGACACAACCTCTTTCAAAATGATGGGCATGTTCCTGCTCCTTGGGTGGTGGTAAGCCTTGAGGACTGGAAGATCTCATTAAACTGTTATATGAGGGGTTGCACTGCAAGAGGGATATCTCCCTCTTCCCCCACACTGACCCCCTCCAAGCGTTGCAGTTCCACCAAATATCCTCCTGCCACCTCCTATATAATCCTAATTATAGATCTGAGAGATACTCCGGCCCTGGATAGCCCTGCATCGCCCTGATCACCATTATCCTTCCTCCCACCACTAATTCCATCCTTAGTGCACAATTGACCTTGGTATCCCCTAAAGTCTGCAGCCACTTCATCCCTAGGATGACAATCGGTACTCCCCAATTCCAAAAGAAGAAAATTCACCATCACCTGTATCCCCTGAATGGTCAACACAAATCTCCTACAAACTCCTCTATCCATCTCTACCTTTCTCGTGCCTATCATCACCCCATAGCCTCATGTATCCACTCATTTTACCCTCAGTAGATCAACAAATTGAGTAAAGATGAAATTGTGGGTTGCCCCACTATTTATCAGCACCCCAACTCTCTGTCACCTATTTCTCCCTTCACTTTTATGGTGTGATTAGGGTGAATCCCACCACTAAATTTAGAGAGACTTCTGTCACGTCCAGATGCAACTACTCATCTTCCTCCACCACTAACCCACTCTCACCTCCCTCTTCAGCTTCCTCGTCATCACAAACGGTGAGAACCTAAAGAGTTCGGTCCTAACACCTATGCCCCGGCATGTACTTCTCATCACATCTAAAATACAGCCCTTTTGTCTTCTTCTCTTGTATCTCCTTCTCTGTAAGCTTTTTGAAATTTCATTTATTTCCCCCTCCACTAGCTCTCTCCTTGGGCACTTCCCTCAAACTCTATGGTATAGGTCCCTTGGGAGCTAAGAAGGTGGTGGTCATCCTGTATGATCCTCCCGAGTCGCTCCCCTTATGGTCCTCCACCAACTGTGCTAGCTCCACAGCCTATCCCAAGTCTCGAGGCCTCATCACCCTAATTGTTGCATGAATCTTCGATTTAAGCCACTTCATAAAATTTTTCTCTAGCATTATCTCTAAGAGCCGGTTTAGTCTGCTAGCTAGATACTCGAACCCGTCATGGTATTCTGCCACGGTCCCCTCCTGTGTCAAAGCAAAGAATAGCTCATAGAAATCTCCTCCCCTACTGGTTCGAAAGCATTCTAGTAAAAAATCTTTGAACTCCCTTCAACTTCGAATGGGTTGCCTCATGTCTCGCCATTGGTACCATGCCAGTGCTTTTCCTTCCAAAAAACTCGTTGACAGCAAAGTAATGCTCCACTTTGTATATCCAACCATGCCATCCTCGCCCTCAAAGACGGGCATCTTCAGCTTTCTCACCTTCGGGTCACCCCTGTTTCTCCTGAGTCCTTCGTAACCTCCCATTCCCCGACGAGGAGGTACTCCCCAGTTATCACGATATTCCCTCCGACGATCATACCCAAACCCTTCATCACATTTCCCTCTTCTTCTTTCAAAATCAGCACCTCAGTGATAGAAATCCTCCTTTCTCCCCACAAAATCAGCACCCCTCCTATCGTAGCCCACACTCATCTCCTCCCTAGAAAGTGATTCTAGAGGAGACATTCCGTCATCTCCCTCAAGGATCTCCACTTCCGGATTCTCCCTCCCCCAAAACGAGTTTGGATTTCCTCCTCTCCCAAGGCCGCCGATGGTTTCCTTTGCTTCCGATGTCGCTGGTTTTTGTTTGTCTTTAAGCATCTTCTTCATCATGTCTTCCAAGGCGGCAAAAATTTCATGGATAGATGCAAACTGCTTCTAAAAACCAGAGGTTTTCTCCTCAAAATCTGACTTTAGTTGTACAAGTTCTCCCTCCAAGACTTCAACCTTCCTTCTGGCCATTGATAATTTGATACCCCTTGGATCAATGCACTTTAATACAAATTTGATAGAAAACAGCCACCCAAGTGCAAGAAATTGCTGAATTTCAGAAAATTCAAAAAGTTTGGTGCAGGAAATTCAGATTTACTAGAGAAAACAACAAGCAAGAGTCTCCAATTTAGTAAAAGAACAAGAAAAACAGCAAACGATATAAGTTTCTTCAATTCGAAAGGAATAAACAACTATCCAAATCTCTAGCCAAGAGACTAGAGCCCAAGCACACTAAGAAGATCCCAAATTCATATTCAAATTCAAGATAAAAACCCTAACCCTCTCAAAAGAAATTAAAAAAAGCAAAGAGGACAAATACAAAATCCCTAAACAGCCCCTAATTAAAATTTTCCCTCCCAAAGCAAAGTTTAATTGAGTTGTGGGCCCCATCTCCCCAACCGTCCCCTCTCTCTCTCTCTCTCCCCCTTGGTTCTGTCCCCTCCTCCTGTAGCAAAGAACTGGTCCAAGTTGGACCAGTTTGGCTGGCCCAAGGGCCGGCCTAACAGATTTCTACCTTTCTTATAATAATTGTAAAGCTCAATAATATTTTATGTTTGCAACATTCAAAAACATATTTAATTTTTCCTTAATAACACTTTGTACCTCCTTGATCCACCACCAAATCTCCTTATCAATGTATGATCTACTTCTAGATTCTCCAAAACTTCCATGCAAACTTCTTAATAGATTTAGCCATCTTATCACATTTTTTTGTTCAACCCAACAAAAGAATTGCATTTTATCTCTCGTAGAAGCCTAATTTGAAATATTAATAATTTCTCATCTTTCAAATTTTGTTGAATAATCCTAACAAAATTATTCTTAATATTTTCTTAAGACTCTTTTCAGATAAACATCCTTAACCAACAACAACAATAACAATAAGCATTTATCCCACTATGTGGGGTCAGCTACATGAATCATTTTTCTTCATTGTGTCATGTTAAAAGTCAAATTCTCATCTAAATCTAATAAAGAAAGGTCATTTCTAATATTTTCTAACCAAGTCTTTTTAGGTCTACCTATACATTTCTTAACATAAGTCAAATCTAAACATCCTTAACCAAGAAATAAATAAATTCAATTCAGAACATCACCGCCAACATTGCTAAGAGATTCAGATTTTCATCTTATCAAAAATCAAATTTGAGTGCTACATGGACGCATTTGACACCATAAAAGATAAATGAAAAATAAGGATACGTCGTAGACTAAAGTTTCAAGAAATTCAGCTTCACTAAGATAAGAAATCAATAAAGAAGGCCCTTACAAATTAGAAGAAAATAAATCATCATCCAAAGTAACATCATCAAACCCTATATATCGGAAGTATCCGAAGCTAGAATGCAGTATCATCAACAATCTAATGTAAACGACCATTAAGCAAAGATATGACACATGTAAAACTGCATGTAAACGTTCTTCTGAACTACTCAAGAAATTCTTCTCGACAAACGGTCTAAGGTTATAGTTAAGTAAATCAACAGTGGCGCAAATAAGATCGCCATAAGATATTCAAGTTCAAAGTTTGGAACTAACCGCACATGAATCAAACCTAAATGAGTCATTCAGCACAGACAAAACAGTACTTAATAAACCGCTCAGGGTTGAAATTATACCTTCATTCTCGATCATCCCAGATTCCTATAGAAAAACAAAATTTAAACACAAGGAAACCTAACAAAAGTTTGTATTGAGCTTACTGGTGATCTCGCATGGCGGCGAATCAGCCGGCCTCTCGAGGAGAACGCCGATCGGGATCCCGCCCGTACTTTCGGCGCTTGAGGTCTCGAAGGAAATCGAGCCCTCTAGGGATCCGTCGGCAACAAGCCAGTTCGTCGACGCCAGCCAGTCAGGGCTCATGCTCTCTTCCTTCTCAGAGACCCTCATTTCTTCGAAATCTGGACTTCACTTCCAGGCGGTGCCTCAACCCGGGAAACGACAATTTATAGAGATCGGACAAAAGTAAGACGGAAAAAAAAGTTCTTCTTTTTTTTGGGTGGGGTGAGCCGGTGAGGGGGAGATAAAACGGAGAATTAGTGATCCAAAGAAAACTCTTCAAAAAGCAAGGTTCTCAAAATCATATCTGACCATAAATGATAATATAAATATATTATTATAAAAAATTAATAAACTTCTCAAAAAAAATTTAATAAAATTAATAAACTAACAGAATATAATAATCATATAATTTAATATATAAATTATTATTAATTTATATTACATATTTAAATTTAATTTATAAATATAAATTATTTAAGAACTCATAACATAAAATTATAAATATAATTAAATACTTTAGTATAAAATATTTCATTTTTATTCTTTTATTTGGTAACATAAAAAATTTTAGAGGTGAAAATTTTAAACTTTGTAATTTTTTTAACATAGAAGTTTTCATTTGATAAAAATTGAATATTCTTAACTAAAAAAATAAAATAAAATTTTTTCAAAAAAATAAAAATAAATAAAATATAATTTATATTATAAAAACAAATTGTTATATTATAATTTATGTCATATAATTTTTATTTGAGCGCTTGACAAGCAAAATGAATCCATATAAACTTTATAATATATATAATAAAAATATAAAAAGATAAATAGAGAAAAAATTAAATATTATCAACTAAAAATTAATTATATTATCAATAAAAAATAAATATTATTCATATTATAAAATATAAAAATCATTAAAAAAAATATGTTGTATAGTGTATATATGAAACTAAAGATGACTTTTTATTTTGTAAGTTTAGTCTCACATCACTTGTAAAGTTTTTTTATATATAGTTTATATAGCTTTTCTGTTTTCACTTATGATAAGAGCTATGGAGCAAAGAAGACATGAGATTATTGAAATAAATATTTAATCAAATCTTTAATACAAATTTAAGAGTTTTATATTAATATTTATATTAATTCATTAAATTTAATATTTATTTAATATTTAATATTAAATAATTTATTTAATTATTTATTTTAAAAAACTTAAACAAGCCTGATTTTAAAAAATCGGGACTGGTTTACTGGTTGAACCGTGATTTTTGTCAAAATTGACTGGTTTGAAGCAAAGTCGATTTAATCGGGGACATGAATCTAAATACATATTTGAATTGAAAACTTCACGAATTAAATTGAGGATCATCTAAATTCTAATTTCTAAAAACTTACAATCAAATTAAACATTTTTATGAGGCAAAAGTGATCCGATCCGAGTACGAAAGTATCTAGATCAAGCACTTAAAACCTAATTAAAAATATTTGAATACAAATTAGATAACTAAACAATTTTCAAATCTCGCAGACATATAATCTACTCGAATAGCTCGATAGATGATCCAACGAGCTCACGTTGGTTTAATTTCGATGTCATTAAGGCACTTAAATGCTAAAAGAATAGTTTATTACCAAGAGAATTAATACGGATCTTCCAATGGAATGTTTGGCCTTTTTGGATGTATTTATGAAGCATGCCTAAAAGATTATAAATGCTTGAAGGATCCTCGATCTCAATAGGACCACCACCTGAACACTATCTGACCATCGTCGTTAGATCACCAACCAACCATCGACATCAAACCTTCACTTGACTATGTTCGACTACCATCGTCGAACCACCACCATCATCAAATTATTGTCGTCTGATCATATCATTGAGCCACTATCATCCCCTAATTATGATCCTTTGGCTATCCACCAACTACGATCCTTGAACCATTATCCCCTAACTATGGTCCTTCGATAATTATCACAATGTATGGTCACCCGATAGTCCTAACTATGGTCGCCTAGCCACCATCACATGACTATGGTCCTCTAATCATTGTCATTCAACTATGATTCTTCAACTACCATCGCCCCAATATGATCACCCTATTATATTTCTCAACTATGGTCCTCTAACCACAATTGTCTAATTAATGTTCTTCGACTCTTGAGTTGAAAATCCATTTTAGACTTTCTACGTGTCCTTAAAAATATTTTTTGATGTTCTAGGCTTAATTTTGATAACCCCAAAGCCTAGCAAAAGCTCTAAAATTAATTCCAAGTAATGAGTTCGAAGCAAGTTTTTTTAATAATTTTTAATCTGATCAACATGTCGACTATTAGGAAGGCCATTATTATGATTAGGGATACTTGATTCACAGCCTTAAGGGGAGATCTGCATAGACATCACGACGAGTAGTCGCATTTCACAACTTTTTTTAAATTAAAATTTTGCAATGTAAAATTTTAAAGAACTAAATGCGTATTTGGATATTGAAGACTCTGACTTCTGAAAAAATGGGAGCAACTAATACATCATCAAAATTCAACTTAATCAAGCATAAATCTTGATGCATATTTAAATTACAAACTTTCAGAATCAAAATCATGACATCTAAACATCGATTCTATAAAACTTATGATAAAACTAAATGTCTTGACGAGTCAAACCCATCAATACTTAAAGTAAATTTGATCGAAGTATGAGTGAGTCTAAATCAAGCACTTAAAATATAATTAGAAACTTTATGATGTTAGTTAGAGGACCAAATCTCGCATGCTTATAATTAAATCGAGCATATCAATGAGATGAATCGAATGATCCTAATCTCTTAATCGCAATATCATTAAGACACTTAAATATTAAAAGAATGATAAATAATCAAAGTAATCAATATATGTTGTTTGATAGAGTATTTAATATTTTGGCTACATTTATGGAGCAGGCTACTCTTGAAAACTATAAATAAAGCCACTATCTATATGAAAAAGGGCTTTGGCTTGAGATTTAAGAGCACTAGCGCACTTAATGAATCCCCAAGCTCCATCAAAGCATTACTCAACCAATACAATCAGACCAACTTACCTGGTCTATGATCCTCCAACCATAATCGCTCAACTATGATACTCTAACCACCATCTCCTAACTATATTCCTTCCCATTGCTTCCCAACTATTGTACTTTGAACACCATCCCTTTGCCACAATCCTAAATCACTTGACAATTGTCCTATGATCATTGTCATCCAACTATAGCTCCCCAACCACTATCGTCTAACTACAACTCTCTGACCACCATCTCTCAATAGTGCTTCAATCACCATCACCAAATTATAATCCTCCAGCCACCTCTGCTCGACTATGATCAGGGTCCTCTAACCATTGTCCCACACTTATAATTCTCTAACCACTACCACCTTATTATGGTTTCCTGAACACCATCACCTTACTACGGTCACCCAAACATCATTGTTCCACTGCGCTTTTATAACTCCACCAATAAAACAAAACATCAAGCCTTTATCACACTATGTAGGGTCAACTAGTAAGAGTCAAATTCTCATTTAAATCTAATAAAGAAATAACATTTCTAATATTTTCCAACCAATTTTTTTAAAATCTACATCTATATGTCTTAATATAAGTCAAATATAATAGATCTCTTGTGCTTCTGTAACATCCCAAGATTAAATTTTGCAAGGAATGTATGCCTATTTTATCCCTTATTTATACTACAAGAGCTTCTTATTTCATTTTATTAAATAAAATCAGTGAAGGCAATGATCAATCATATCCATTTATCAAAATATATAATTGTATTCATTCCTCAAAATTTAATTTATGCTAGCCAGCAGATCTATCACTACATCAATCTATCTTTCAAAACTCCTGACTATAAAAGAATGAAATAAAATACAAAAAACAAACAAAACCTAAAGATTCAATTTGTCTCACTCCATTAGATTCTAACCCCTTCTTAAAATCATGTAAAAATCATAAAGTGAGCTAATAACTCAATATGTTATCAAAACCTACAACTAAAAGACAATAAAAATAGTATGCATGTAGTCATTAAGTCCAAAATAATATAAATTTATAATTGTAAGAAAATATAGCAGTCAATGAGAACTAAAATAGCCATGTTAGTGCTTATTATGTACAATGTCACTTCATATGAACAATAGAAATCACTATGTAATATAATTCAAAATTAATGATCAGTAACTATATAACAAATTAGTATTTCATGTATTTTCCTATGCTCATCAATTACAAAATAATTTATACAATTCTTTATATGCATGTCATACATAACATAATGTTTTAAGCATCAATCTTATTAATCATATCAATCTTATATGTAATGTCATATATGTATGCATATCATATAATGTCAATATCATATATAATGCACATCATGTATATTATATGGTTTGTGTAAATCACAAGCCCTTATATTGATCTTATTAATCATATCATATACTTGTATCAGTTATGTTCTCTATCATGTACATATCATATCTTATCATGTCATTTACATAATGTATTAAGTATGTTAATATCATATGCATGTATAAACAATATAAGCAAAATTGGACATCCAGCTACATGTGTTTTTTTATTATATATATTCATATAGGTCAACCTTACAAGAATCAATCTTAATTATATCAATCTTGTTTTCAGAAATTAGTCTCATAAACATTTCACAAGTTATGTTACTTTTATGTAAAAAGTCATCACTTTCTGACCGTCAATGTATCATATCATATCGATTAGTCTCTTTATGCCTCCATGTTCATATCACTTAGGATTACACCACAAACTTTATTTAAAGGGCAGACAATTAGTCCATCCTCCTGTATATAATAACATGTCTCCAACCAACCTAAATCAATCAATCATTTTCAACTAATCTTTATTACTTTTACGCATATTTCATATCATATGAAACATAATAAAAAATATCTTATACACTCAATACAACTATTATTATACTCATCAATGTAATATAATATTCCAAAAATGCATATTGAATTAAATGTACAATATATATATATATATATATATATTTCATGTCTAAATGCATTACATTGACTATCGATTATTTATACTTAATATTATTCTACTCATTTTGATCAAAATGATAAACAAAATCACCTTGTGAAATATCTCAATAACTAGTCAAAATACTAAGGGTAATAATATCTACTACAAAGTTATACGGTTTAAAGTCACTAAAATAAGAGATATTATATTTTAATCATTTTTAAGAGAGATAAAATTTGAGAAATCAAAATTATTAAAATAAAAATAGGAGTTAGGTTACCTATAACGATCAGATCACTTTTCCCAACTAAATAATAGACAAAAACGACATGGAGCAAGCTTTTTCTCTCACTCCCCTTTTCTCTCTTCTCTCCTTCGGCCAAGCAATGATGAAATGGGGAGGGATGCTAGGGTTATGATTTGATTAAATGGATTTAAATATTTTTTATAAAAATATGAAGTTTTAAATCCAGTGCCGCGATGCCCAAGAAACTAGCACCCCTGCACCCAATAAATTCCCCCAAAACTTGAGAGCTCAAAGTCAGGGCATCGAAGCACTCTCTAGACCAAATTCTAAAATTTTGGAAAAATGAATTTGGTGTCATTACAGTTTCGCTTATCACAATTACCCGACTACAATGATTTGACCATGAACATATAACTACCAATCTCCAACTTCCTTGATTAATTATGGTGATTTGACCACTATTGCCCGTCTATGATTCTTCAACCATCATCTCTTAAATAGGATCTCCAAATAATTATAACCCAACTCTTGTCCCTCAATCGCCATCACCTTACTATAATTTTTTAACCAAAAGGGATAAAATTTCATTAATTATAAAAGAAAGATACAAGCAAGACCAACAAAGGACAAAATAAAATTACAGTTCTACAAACATAAAGGAAGAGACAACAAATAGTGAAGAAGGCAAAAGCAGTCTGGTTCAGTCATTGGTAAGAAGCTTTCTGCAACCACTCAGAAGTTAGACATGGACCATAAAGAAAGAAACCACATAGATGAAGACGCAAAATGGATAAACAAAATCTCACATCCCACATAAATGCCACCAATCATAAGAAGAGGAAGCAACCATGAACATCTAACTGCCAATCTCCAACTTCCTTGATTAATTATGGTCATTTGACCACTATTCCCCATCTATGATTTTTCAACCATCATCTCTTAAATAGGATCTCCAAATAATTATAACCCAACTCTTGTCCCTCAATCGCCATCACCTTACTATAATTTTTTAACCAAAAGGGATAAAATTTCATTAATTATAAAAGAAAGATACAAGCAAGACCAACAAAGGACAAAATAAAATTACAGTTCTACAAACATAAAGGAAGAGACAACAAATAGTGAAGAAGGCAAAAGCAGTCTGGTTCAGTCATTGGTAAGAAGCTTTCTGCAACCACTCAGAAGTTAGACATGGACCATAAAGAAAGAAACCACATAGATGAAGACGCAAAATGGATAAACAAAATCTCACATCCCACATAAATGCCACCAATCATAAGAAGAGGAAGCACCACCAATGGTTGCCATCAAGTCACAACAGTCCAGGCGGTGAGCAGAAAACCACCACATCATTGCTCGAACCACCAACAACCGCAAAGGCAAGCCCCCAACAACACCAACCAAACCAATCTTCTGAAATGACCTTACCATCAAAATAGAGAGCAACACCCACAAAAATCCAACGAAACAAGCTAGCCCCAACAAAGTAAAGCACAACAGAAAAAAGAAATCAAAATCTAAAAGGAAAAAAAAAACATTTCTTTTGGGATTTACAACGTCTATGCTTACCAATCCTTTAAAAAAAATCATCCTCAACAACTTGAATAATATTAAATCAAAGTTATCCCGAAAATCCAAATCATTCTCATTAGTTTCCTCCCCACCAGCTGAAGAATTGTCATCATCTAACCAAGTCACCATGCATCACCTCATGATCCCTCGAATTACAAGCAAGGTGAGCTAATAAAGCATCATTAAAAATAACAAATATAAGCACATCAATAAGAGACATCAACATTTTTTGCCTCAAGTCCACCACCATCAGAAAAAGAAGCACTAAAATGAGCGGGAGAATCCAAAGGAACCTTACCACTCTTAACAGGCAGAAGCCCACCCATAGGGCTAATAATCTCTCGGTCCCCAGGGTCCAGAGGGTCAAAAGAATCAAAAACCGCATTTTTACCATCACCAACAACAACATTAGAATCGGGAGAAGTATTAGGACTAGCTACCAAATTGACTAAGGGTTCAACTCAGAAACCTCAGCAACACCTTCATTAATTTCAGAAAAAGAAGCCACATGCAAAACAACATACATCAAAAAACATATCCCCTCAACAAGAGAAGCAACCTCAATGTTACCATTTCTTTTTTCCATAGCAAGAGCACCATCCACACCAATATTTCCATTAACCACAACCTCAATAGGACAAACAGGATTTACATTAGGAATAAAATTTTCCACAGGACCAACAACATCCACATTTTTTACCATAGCATTAACCTTCTCACCATAAATATTATGATTAACCAAATCCGTCACTGGAATAGAAGAACGACATTCACCGGACAAATGATCAATCAAATTACATTGCGCACAAACATGAGAAAACTCCTCCAGCACAACATATTGAACATAACCAAACTTTTCAAGACCAATCCAAACTTTATTAGAATATTTTTTATTAATGTCACGCTCGACTAACACACGCGCAATTAAGGGACGGGAGCCAACAAAGGTAGCATGATCCACCTTTAGCAAACGGTCAATAAATATTCTAATCCGTGAAGAATACAAGGCAAAAAAAAAAAAATTGGCCACAAGTTAGGAAATGATATCCAAATAGATATGATAGGAAACTCCACACCAATATCAAGAAGAGGAGACCATTTGGTCAACTTTATTTAACAATTGCTAACAAAATATTATCTATGAGAAAAAAACTATTATAATTTAGGGCATTCACCAACATAATCAACACATGAGAATGATCCAATAGAGTTCCTGAGAAATCACTTTTAAACTTAAGAGCAAAGAAAAACTAATTTAGATAATTATTCAAACTAATTTATAATCTAGCTCATTAACTTTCATAATTATTAATTAGAAAATTATTCAAACTAATTTAGATAACCTGAATTATAAGTAAGCACTATTATAGTTATATATAAGATACCAGTGTTGAACAAGCGAAAGAAAAAAAAAAAACTGAAGATCCAAATTGAAAAAACAACCTAGAGAATAATAGCACACAATAAATCATCATATAATTCGCGCATCATAAGATTTACGAAATCCACGAAATAGCATAAAGCAATGTGAAAACTATACTTCACAGACAATAAATTAATTACCACAAAAAACTAATTTGGCAAGGTATAAGCCCAAATCCTTTTTTTTATACATAAGCCAAAATCCTTGTTAATTCAAAGTAAAATATTATAACTAACACTTCATATGAGATAACTTTTAAATAGTAATTTTGTTTGAGATAACTTTTAAATACTATTTTTTTACTAGTTTTGATAAATTTTTATACTAAAAAAGCTGTTGTAAAAATTAATAAAAAAATTTTCCTAAACAAAACCTTAGGCTTCATTTGAGATAGCTTTCTTTTAATACAGCAATCACAATTTTAATTTTTATACTAAAAAATTGTTTTAAAAAACAGTAAGAAAGCCATCCCAAATGAAGCCTAAAGTTACTTTTTATACAATAACTTTATAGAACAATAAAAAATTATCCCAAAAGCCTAAATTCATACAAGTTCTTGATGGATGTCCAAATTGCGTTAGAAGATAATTATATTTAAGCAAAGTATTTCAAATGACTTGAAATTAAATAAAAAAATATTAACAATATCTTAACGTTTTTAACACATTTTTTATGAAATATACGAATAAGAGCAGACATATAAAACAGCATCTATATCATTCGATCATTCTTATATTTTTTGTATGTTGAATAGATGAAATTTGCTGAAACTCAGTTGCATATTATTCTTTGTATGATAGATCACAATCAACTGTGATGTGTGATACTGAGTTTAAAGGTGAAATATAAGGGTAGATGCAATTATGCAAACACAAAATTTAAAGAAAAATAATCTCCAAAAGAGGAAATTATCATATCATGTACCCGCTCGTCTTGGAAAAATTATTTTGTGCGAACACCAGACCGTCCAGAGATAAATCAGAGCGCACCACATCACCTGGTACACAACAAGTACACAACCGCGGTACACAACAAAAGTATGACGTGGCGCATTCTGATTAGTCTCAGAATGACATCCATATCCACACAATGATTTTTCATCATCTTGATAGATATACATGAATATGAAAACTAGTCATACAAGATAATTCTCTTCATCCACCAGAACAGTTGCCTCGTTGCCAGCCCCAACATTCATCAAAGGGATGGTATCATCATCAAGCAATGTTGGCAAAGGGGAATCCTGTTAATAACTAATCAGAACTCAAATAGCCAATATAATCAATAATCATAAGATAACTGGAACATAAATTCTGCTGTAAACTAAGGACTTATGTTCAAGAAGTACAAAGGTAACTGGTAGAAGATGCCCCAGTAGGAAAAAATAATAATAACTGAGACAATAGAATTTGTGATCAGCCCATTCGAAAATCCTCCAAAAGGCTTCCAAATTTTCCTGCTTCTCAACCAATTTTTTCTTTGATACAAGTTGATATCTAGCAAAAGAGCCTTTTCATCCCTAGAAGAGTTACTGAAAATTCTATTACTTCTTTCTTCCAAATCATCCAAAGAGACACAAACACGAATAAGAACCATAGTTGTTTAAAACTTTCCTCGATATGCTTGTTTTTCTACAAAGTGAAAATTAAGATGCCAACCGGAACTTTAATACAAAAAATCATTTTAATTCTTCTCCGAATCTTAATAGTAACCCAACAGTTAAAAGAACAAGTGAGTCTAGAGAACATGGCATCTTTGGGACTCCATAAGTAATGTCTTACTCCATCTCAGTTCTAACAGTAAAATTTAAGTGTACAAAGAAAAGAGTAGAACATGGCATATTCTATTCCAACAAACAAACCATCCTACAGCGATCAAGTTGAATTGAGATGTTTTTCATCTAAAAATTATGAGTTGAGATTTAATCGAACAATTTTGGTTCCAAGCATAAATATACAAATCCAGAAATCTGGAAGTACAAGAAATGTCATCAATCCATATACTTTAACCAAAACTTGAGATGATAACTATCAATGCCGACCTCTCATTTGATGTTACAACAAAAACAACAACAACATCAAGCCTTTATCCCACTTCATGGGGTCAGCTATATAAATCTTTTTTCTCCATTGTGTCCTAATAAAAGTGAAATTCTCATTTAAATCTAATAAAAAAATGTTATTTCTAATACTTTCTAACCAAGTTTTATTAAGTCTACCACTACCTTTCTTAATATAGGTCTGATCTAATACATATACTCTTGCCACGACTTGGTCCGAAATATCAAATTAGTGAGACAAAACAAATGATCGGACAAATAAAACAATTCTTTCAATATCAATAATTACTCAATAGACTAATATCAAAATGTAACTGAAGAACTACCAAAACAATTTCATCTAAAAATTCTATAAAATCTTTATGGTGTAGAATGTTCACCATTAAAAGAGAAGCATAATATTAAGTTAAGTGTTGCAGAGATGAGAGTACTTAGGTGGATGGAGATGCTTTTAAACTATGAAATATGGTCTCAATGCATATTAAGAGTAGGAAATGCTATCTTTTATTTAGAAGATAGGGCTTACAGCTTGACTTTGAGGCTAAGATGTCTAACCATGTGAGTATACAGAATGTTGACAAAAAAATGCAGATTTAGTTATCTGATCCTTAAGTGAAGGCTTTCTACATGAAACACACTGGCTATGTATGATTATTTTCAAATTTAGGAAAACTTGGCTTCTTGGAAGGAGCCATGCAATTTTTTCTTTTTATTAGAAAAACATTAAGCATAAGATTGATTTTATGTTATTTATATTTTAATGGGTAGAAATCTTAATTTTGTCCTAAGAGCTTATCGCATCAAACATGTCTAGGCCACTACTTAGCAAAAGCAAATAAGAAATCTAAAAAAAGCATGCATTTTCTATTGTGCAATCAAGTAAACAATCAAAACATACTTCTATATCTATAATCAACCAAAATAAGAGTATCAATGTCCAAATTATTAAAATAAGAGTATCAATGTCCAAATTATTACAATCAGAATTGACAGCTGAGTTGCCTACCATTATACAATCTACTCAAATTTATTAAGGACTCTACTTGTCGGGGTCTTCCAGCTTTGGCTTCTAGGTAGGTCTTGAGCTTCAGCTTCGATAGGCTCAACCTCTTGATCCACCTTTCGTTTAACTAAACCCCAAAAGTTTAAATATACATCATAAGTCTAATCAAATACAATTTTAAAAAGAAAAGACTCGAGTCTGCAACACAAGAGATTAGGAGCATGTATGTATATACATCACAAAAAACACATCCAGAATTGCTTAGCATTTGAACTGTTAAGCTCCTGCTTCTATCCTATTGGTCATGCCTTCTTGGGGTTTTAAGTAGCACCATTTAGCAAGCATTTTATTTATGATTTATTGCACCCCTTTTTGGACAAAACCACCTGCAAGAAGAATATGTATATATATATATATACCACTTAAAGGCAAGTGCTCATAATGCAGATAATCCAATGGGCATCACACCAAAGCATCAATCACATGCGCAGAAAAGAAAAATCTTAATCTAGCATGCCTAGGGGCCCCCTAAGTGTGTGCGGCTCTATGTCATGTCACGCTAAGGAAGGCGTTTTTGTTTTATTGAGAAAAGAAGACTTAATTTTGGCTTGAAGAAAAGAGGGAGAAGAACATGCAACTTTTGGAGTCGTAAGTTGGAGGGGTGGATCAATGAATTTTGCCGTAAATGAAACATGACTATTTACCAAATTTGTATTAGGTAAATAGGAGAAAACAACATGCAACTTGCAGGTTGCAAATTTGAGGAATCTCTTTGAGTACTTAGTGTTCAAATAAAGAGATATACACTCACTTAATTTAGGCTATGCGAATGGGAAAGGAAGACTAGGATTTAGATCCTAAGTCCAAGAAAAAAGTTTACTTGTTGACTTTTTTGCTCCAACAAATGAAACGAAAGAACCTAGAATTGGGTTCTAAGTTCAAGAGCCTTGTGCAATGATGATGTTGAAGTTTTGGAGGCCTTCAAGCTATCATGCAAAAAAGGAAGGGGAGATGATCGCTTGCTGATTTTGTGTCAACAAATACAAATTTGGGATGAACTTAGGATTTTGATCCTAAGGTTTTATGATTCATGCAATGAAGTGTTTTGAGAGTTAGGATACTCCAAACCATCATGCATGAGAGGATGGATGAATGTTTTTTTATTTTGTGTTTCAACAACTAAGAGGTGAAGATGATTGCTTGTTAATTTTGTGCTTCAACAAGCAAGAGGAAATGAACCTTGGGTTTTGATCCTAAGATTTGCTAATGCTCTTTTAGGCTCTTTAGAGGTAATTTGGGAACCTCTATGTGAGCTTAGAAGGAAACAAACAAGGAATCCATTTGTTGTTTTTGTGTTCCAACAAATGAAATGAAGAAACTTAGAATTTAGCTCTAAGTTTGGGAGCTTGTGATATGATATATTGAGCATTTTGAGATAATCCACAACACCACACACAAAAAAAGATCGTTGATGACCTTAAGAGATGTTAGGCTTCATACAATAAAATATTTGGAGCCATGAGGATGCTTCAAGTATCATGCATAAGGGAAGAGTAGGAAGAGAACTTCCTACTCTTCTATGAATATTTGGATTTCTTTGGAGAAGGGAATATTGATTTCCTAAAGCTTCTAGGAGGTCTTAAGATCAATTTTGGCATGATCTACAAAGAACCTAGGAGTGTATGCATGATGCGATTTATCATTTCAAGAGTTGAATTATGTGTTTCATTTGATTATTCATTGCACTCGAACCTTTTAATTTACAAATTGCACTAATCATACTTAGATGATTCCAACACACGATGGGGTATGATCCATAAACCTTTGAAAGCTACGGAATATCTCATCCTTTGCTTTACAAGCATTTAGGAATTAAATGAGCATGCTTACAAATTTGTAAACTTTAGATAAATGAGTTATTAGACAACCCACTATGTATATATTTTAATCATTTCATTTTTACTTTCTAGTTTGGAAATTATATAAATAGGTTGAAAAAATTCTAAAACATGAGGGTTCATGGGCGTTTGAAGGCCTATACTACATCTAGAGTTTAGTTTAGAATTAAATGAGCCTATTTAGTCCTCTTCCAAAATTCCACAAGTTGAGGATTGTTTCAAGCAAATGATTATTATTGATTGAATGCTCTAAATTTGTTGGAGGAAACAAACATGAGCTTGATTGAACATGGACATTGTGAGGTTTACAACATAGACCTTTGAAAGTCCATGAGACACAAAGACTTGACATCAAAGATATTCATTTCCAACCATGGGTGACGGTATTGGTTGGCAACATGATGCTATTTCATGCATTTGGAGGTGTAGGATACCAATTCAAACACCCTACACACATCAATGTCCTCCTTGGGTTCTCATATGAGAGAAAACAAGCGAAAATAGTTGGATTTCCACTATTTTATGGAGAAGACAGCAAATAAGGGATTGATTTTGGGTTTGGAAATTAAAATATGAGCTTTATATGGACCTATGGGGTTTGGAATGTCAAACACAACCAACGGGCCGATAGACTTAGGTTTCACTAAGATCTGAGGAATTTTACCTTGCTAGGTTGTCACGGCGCCTACCACTATCCACTCGCCTTGTCAAAAGCTAGATCGAGGAAGAAAGCTGCTTCCCAAGCCACTCCAGAAGATGGATCTGCTGTCCAAGGCACTCCAAACTGCTGTCTTCATTGTTTGGCCACTTCCGGGGGCCGATTTTGCTGTCTTGAGGTTGCTGGCATTGGTAGAAGAGGAAGAAAAGAGAAGTCTCTAAACTCCCCTAACTCCTCGTTCAAGCTCGACCCAAAAATAGAAAAACAAGAGTATGTCCAGAAGTCCTGCACAAGGATCACTTTACGGGCTTGAATGCGCACAGTTCTGGATGCCGCAGGCAGGGATGCAGCTATGGGTTACTCGGCTTCGCTCCTTTTACTGACCTGGATGGCCCACATCCAGCGGATATGCACGCGGGATGGCTGAGATTGCCACTTGACCCAACATAAACTGCACGCAAGGACCTCCCAGATATATGCGCATGGTGTCTCCTCCTCTCCTGATCTCCCTTAAGGGCAGCCCGTCCACTGCTTGGCTCGACTCCAGGTATAAACGAACAAAGGTGCTCGTCTGCTCCACCTCTGGCTCTCGACCTGGGATGAACAAAAATAGTAGGCTGAATGCCCTTCCCTCCAACTCCAGTTCTCTATACAGGAAACAAGGAGATGCCTACCCAACACGATCTTCTGCCGCGATATCCTAATCTTCTGCAGTAGAAATCAGGGGGAAAATACCTGTAGCAATCGGTCTTTGAATCCTGGCCACTATATCTAATTTCCTGATGAGGGAAATGATTAGAAAAGGCCAAGAAGTCAATTCAGCCTATTTGGATTAAATTAAACTTGAATGTGGTCAATTGGGCTGAAATTAGGTCCAAATTGAACTCAATCTAAATCAATTTGGGTTCGATTGGATCCGATCAAGCCAATTTTGTGAATTAGGATTGAATCGGCTTCGAATTGCGTCGAACCATCAATTTGGTTCAATTCGGACATATTTTGGTTCAATTCGATCAATTTGATATTAATTTCATAAAATTTAATTTAATTCAGGTTCAATTTGAGTTAACTTACATTCAACGATGATCAATCGAGTTGATGGAGTGCGATCAAGCCCGGTCGAACTCGAATCAGCTCGATCGGGGCTAGATAAGGCTTGATACGAAAATATACGTCAACGCCTTTGTCACTTTAAGACCTACCCAATAACTTGTAAAATAAATAAGTACTAAGAAATACTCATTGCATATGTATATGCATAGCTCCTCTCAATCACATTTAAGACCATAAAATATTATTGCCAAATATATTTAGATCTAATCAAGAAGTTACAACTGATTAAATTTTGTTTAAATACTAAATTAATTATTAATTGTCTTCATAGATTTTAGGCTCATTACATTTGTCATGTATAACCAGAATATTTCGACCCAACCATCGTACTCATTAACACCAACTAGAGCTGACATTATAATAAATAACACCAAACTCAGCATCCATTCCAGCGTTGCCTATATTATTTTAATTCTAGGTGCTATCATCTGAGAACTCATGAAAAGATGCACAAAAAAGAGTGATTGTAGGATAATAAACAAGGCAGCTGGAATGTAATATTATATTTTTGGGGAAATGATTAATGTCATCAACAAGAGAAAGAACTATATATCCTCCAATAAAGCATCTTTGGCAATCCCATACAAAGAAGTTTCCAGAACTTAGATAAAATCACCTCCACAGCATCCAAATTCCAGCAGCCGAAAGACAAACCATGACTGCCAATCTACGTTAAAAGCTTCTCTTAAAATACCAATCCATGTTAAAAGCTTTTCTTATATAATAGAGGTACTAATATTCTCACTTCAATTATTCTACATATCTGAAAACTCGTTAAACTTCATGCAGCCTACACTGACAAGAGATTAAAAGATTTATAACAAAAAAGGACTCTAGTTTGATGAATGAATTGGTATAGAACCAATCTCTATTCCAATACCAGTTAAAAGCTTCCAATATATCATTCTTCCTAATTTTTAGATTAAAAATGTAGATCAAACCAAAATTCAACAGATGTAACTTCTCTTCTAGCACTATAAAAAAAAAAACATAACAAATATTTCCCAATCTTTTAAAAGACAGATAATACCATTTCTATTTTCACTTACTAGATGTCCCTTTTCCGAACATTTGAAACAGGTAGGAGCATACCTCCGTCAAGGAAAAACATTAGAGAACAGGACTAAGGCTGGATGAGTTACTCCAATGAGAATTCTTCACCATCTCAGCATATTATTTGCCTAGAGCATGAGCAGCAACATGCTTTTTCGAGACTCTTTTCCTAGAGGTTAGCCTACCCCATAGCAACACCTTCATTCTTTCTTACTAAGCCGTTAAAAATATTAAAAAAATCGCTACCATAATGAATATTTCTGACAAGAAATCAAACTGATTCTTTAAAAACTCGTTATTTTCCTAAGAAAATATTCTATCACTTTCTACACAATTTCAATACATCATAAAGAAATCCCAGCTGAACTTGAAAGACTATCAAGGAGTACTTCATTTAGTTGTTGATCCAGTAATGCCTTCTCCCTCAAAGTACCGTTTAGGCAGCAAGGAACATTTTCTAACAGTCCATGAATACTGATATAAAGATCAAAAGTAGAAAACAAACTAAGAAGGCACCGCTGGAAATTAAATACAAACAGTTCTTGAAAATTTCCAGTGACAACTCATTGCCAAAAATCTGGCTGCCAATGCAGAAAATAGGATGGGAAACATGCAGTGTTTGCTCGGTCTTATAAACTTTACATGGTTTAAATTTTAGCCTGTCCAAACTGGAAATTAAATAATCTACTTAACTATTGTTGAAAAGACACATTCAGCCTTTATGGCCCACAAGCAATGGCATTCATTAAGGAAACGAAATTGACAAATTTTCTATAATCATAGGTAGGAGGGCAGAGAAAGTAGGCATCCTGCAATAAAGAACAGATTAAAACTAGACGATGAAAAACCGCTTCAAATCTTAAAAAAGTCTCTAGCAAAAAGTAGTTGGTGAATTTTCAATAAGCAGAGAATGCTAAATTTAGGGGTAGAGAAACAAGTTCCTTGCTTGCAATCGAATCAGATGTAAATAACAAGAAAAATTTCCCATTTCAAATTTACAAAATTTGAATATAATTGCTATCATAATCATTAGCATTAAGCCATCACCCCAAGTATTAATGGTCCGCTTGATGAATTCTTCTCCACGGTTCATTTATTTTATGTATTGTGTGGTGTTAATTCTACTTTATAAAAGTCCTTATTCACACTGCCTAGCCAAGTTATCTTGGTTTAAGGTCTTCTCCTTCTAGGTTTATCATATTAGTTATGTTACCCAGCTTTGGGTAATATCTTTGATTTTTTCTTTTAATCACACAAGTTTGCTTTCTATAATCTAATTCAAAATAAGAAATGCCCCTACAGCCTCTACAACATAAATTATTTTCACAATATCATGTTTAATTTTACTGTACATTCATCTTAATATTCTTATTTCTACTCTACTGCAAGTGTTTCCGTTATTGCCCGGCACTAACTCATACAACATGACCAATCAAAATTTGAACTTAATGCTAAACAGAAATTCTGCATTTTGCAAGCAAATTAGGTAAACAGTTTTCAATCTACATCAGCGTTTGTGATGTGCTGTAGCTACCTACAGGCCTTCAATTTAAAGAAAAATCTTTGAAAGAAAAAAAATTTAGAAAACAAATACCTTCTCTTGAAGAAAGAGCCTTAACTTTACACCCTTCAGTTTAAAAAAGCTCTCACAAAGAACCTTTAGCCTGCCAACCTAGTTCATGGCCAATCATATACATCAGAAAAATTGAAAAACGTTCACAAAAAAGTTCTCATATGGATGTGCACTCACTGTATCCATTCTAAGAAAAAGCTAAATATGCTGCTTTAAATTGTAAAGGAATGAAAAGAAATTGATGCATTTAGGGAACAACAGCAAGCGCTCGAAGCTATCCACAAAAAAAATGCCTTCTTTCAAAAAAATTGTTGACTTCTAAATGCTCTAACATCTCAGATATATAGTCTGCATGTTATGTGAAAAGTCAGCTGATCTTGCCAAATTCAAAGATTAAAAGTCCTCTAAAAGTTGTGTCTTATAAAGAGAGCAAGGCCATTGGAAAATTCAAAAATAGTGTTGGTTCTACGAGAACGACAAAATCTTTTTCTAAGACTCAGCTACATGACCAAGCATAAGCAAGGAACTAAAAAAATACAACAACAAGCCTTTATCCCACTACATAAGGGGCAACTACATGAATAATCCTTTTTCTCCATTGTGTCCTATTAAGAATCAAATTCTCATTTAATTCTAATAAAAAATGTCATTTTTTATATTTTCTAACCAAGTATTTTTAGGTCTACATCTACTTTTCTTAACATAAGCCAAATCCAATACATCTAGTCTCCTAACAAGGTCATCGAAAGGCCGACATTTTATGTGGCCTAACCATCTAAGGCAACTCTCTAATTTTATTCGTCACTAGAGCTTGTTTTCACATATATGCTCGTTTCTCATTCTATCTCTAAGTATAAAGCCACTCATCCACCCGAGCAGCATTATCTCTTTAACGATTTTATGCTTTTCTATTAATGACCAACATTCTATGCCATAAAGCATTGTAGGTCTCACCATCATCTTAAAAAATTTTCACTTAAGTTTATGGGTGCGATGCATTCCTCGCCCTCAACCATCCAACTTGATTTCTACTAATAATATCCCCATCTATTACATCATCGCTTTGAACTTTAGACCCGAGAAATCCAAAATGTGAACCCTTTTTAATGACTTGATCACCCAATGTCACAATCCCACAATAGATCTATTACTACATAAATTATACTATATATATTCGGTTTTAGATCTACTAAAACGAAAATATTTACACTATAAAGCTAATATCCATAATTACTTTCTTTAACACTACATAGGCCCCTTTATATGCAATCCAATTTTTTTAGCTTTTACGTCTAAACTAAATTTTATAAGAAAGCTTCTTACTTTTGTTCCTTTCATGCACATTTTGATTTCACGACCAACTATTTTTATAATAAGGAGCTTTTCCTTTTGATTCTCCAATAACATACATAATATTACTAGCTACGTTTTCTACATGACATTAGCTTCCCAATGAATAAATCAAATCTTAAGATCTTGAATCTTACTCTAAAAAATATTTTTATTAGCATTCTTTAAATACCCAAATCTAATCATAAAATAATATTTTACTTTTTTTTATTTTCCACCCCTTCATTTTAAAGTCCAAAATTAATAAGCGATGTTAAATACATAAATTTTCACTCGAAATGACTTTACAACTTATGCAATCTAAACAATCTATTTCTCTTATAAGAAAATAATCAATCTAAACTTTATTGTATATATATTCTTATAAGTAATGAGATACTCCTTTCTTTTTTTAAATAAAGTATTAGCAATTACAAAATCAAAAGCTAAAGCAAAATCTAATATGGTCATACCACCTTCATTAGTCACTCCAAACTCATAATCAACATAAATGATTTTAAAATCTTCTACCACTCAACCAACATGTCCATTAAGATCTCCTCCAATAAAAACTATTTCTACAAGAGATATCATTTGTATTAATTATTCTAAGTTATTCAAAAATTTAATTTTTTAACACATGTCCAAACCTAATTCAAGCGCATAAACACATAAAATTAATAATTTTAACATCAACAACAACTGTAAAATTATAAATTATATCTATAATTATATTAATTGCTACAACATTATCCTTCAAACATATTTATAATAACACCTATACTATTGCTAGTACTATTCAAACCTAAATACCATAGTTTAAATTCAAATCTATCAATCGCCTTGGCTTTTTCCTCAACCCATTTAGTTTTCTGAATTCAGCAAGGAACTAAAGAATATGATGCAAAATTATACTAACATTGGAATACAATTCATATGTTAGAGGTATTATATTATCCTTTTTCACATAAAAAGGCGGCCTTCCGACGACCCGGTTAGGAGGGTAGAGGTATTAGATTTGACTTGTGTTAAGAAAGGTAGGGGTAGACCTAAAAAGACTTGGTTAGAAAATATTAGGAATGACCTTTCTTTATTAGATTTAAACGAGAATTTGGCTTTTAATAGGACACAATGGAGAAAAAGGATTCATGTAGCCGACCCCACGTAGTGGGATAAAGGCTTGATGTTGTTGTTGTTGTTGTTGTATTGGAATACAATTCATATGCTGTCACAACGCTAAATAAATTGATAAAAAAGAAATTAAAGGCACATCATATTTAAGGCCCACAATGATAATTACACCAACATTCATGTTCATAAAATATTTCATCTCAAAGCCAAAAAAAATATTAAAATGGCTTGTAAGACCCACCAAACTGAACTATATTTCCTAAAAAAGGGGATTTGCTAAGGCCATGTTTGGATGTGTTCACTTGCAGTTGTGTTGTCTACGTGCTTTAATTTTTCTGCAATAGATATTTAAGTTAAGAAGTATGGTCAGTAAACCTGTTCTTGTTTTCTAATTCAGAGAACAAGATAGTGTTTACGGGAATTATGGAAAAGCCCAGCCATTCATCTCTTTTCCTCCCATAAGCATAGGTTGCATCATTGCATTACGCCTTTTCCTAGGGTCTTCATCTCTAATCATAGTTGTGTCTCTTTCTTCCCTTCCATTCCCTTCCCCTAATCCCATTCATTGTTATACTGTTTTGACCCCACTTTCAGTGCATAAGTTCTATAGATCTGAACTCTATGATACTTCTTTGATATCATTGTCTGCCCAAATATTTTTTTTCTGTTGCACATTTTCTTTCAGATCTGATTTTTTTATTTAATAGAAAAAGTTATGATTGTTTGGTCTAGACCATGCGGCAGAGGCTTTAAAATATTTCTGATATAATAAAATAGTAATTTAAAGTAATTTTTTTAGAAAGTAAATTGGATATTAAATAAGATACTTTCTAAATATTTCGCCCCCTTATGATAATTTTAGGATCTAGTTCGAGGTTTCTCATTGGCACAATCCCTAATGATTAATTACTAATCTCAATCCCAATCAAGATTTTATAGTTAAGCCATCCCGAGTTGTCATGGATTCCAATCACTTAGTCAGCAGATATAGTTCTCAACCTAATCAAAAGATTCTTGTCAATCATGGATTTTGTTATCCAATAGAGCATTGTAGGCATGTAGTAAAGCTTGCCAAAGTAGTCAACCTTGGCTAAAAAAAGGCTTCATACCCCATTGAGCATCTTATGGCTCACAACTCATGGGCTTAGCTATTGGGAAACATTCGGACTTAGGTCATAACAATAATAGAATGACATCATCAAACTCAAGCTAAAACATGGTTAAGGGGAACATGCCAAGTTCTTTTTGACAAGATATTTTTTATTGAGGTCATACAGATACACTTGATGTGAATATTAGCTCTTTGCAAACTTTGTTCAAACCTAAGTTTGTCTCCTTGGAAAACTAGTGCAAGTGATGAATGGATGGTTGCTCTAAAGCATAAAGCAACCAACAATTGCATCCGCTTTTTAGTTTTCACAGTATATTTTTGTTTTCTATTATATTATTAACAAGGTTTGAGTTTGAGTGGACTTAGTTTCGATAATGATTTTGTTTTAAATATGTCACATCAAGAAATGAGCCTGGAACATATTTTCCTTGGAATTTGAGAGGACCTTTTATGATAAGATCCCCTTGATTATGATATTCAAATAATCAAACCCAGCATCAGGGAGAGTTCATTGCAGATGGAAACTTGAGCCATTTGCAAATGCATTGTCATATATTTTCTTAAAAATTTACGAATGGAGTTACTACCACAAAATTGCGATAAATTAACCGGTTCAACTAGTGAACTTTTCCGTAGGTGACTTTTGGTGATTCGTGGCTCATGCAAATTATTAATTATTTCTAAAGGTTCGAGTCCTAAGGTTGGGACTAACAGCTTGACGCTATAAGAGTGTTTTATGGATGCCCTGTCATATTATAATTTCAAAGTATGCAGTGTTCAACAACATATATAACACATGGCACACATTCGACATGCATCCAACATATGTCAAACATGCCAAAATTATAATAAATAAATGACAAACATGTGTATCTAATATGCAAATTAGGTGTCATAGGTTAGATAAAATAACGATGATGGGAATAGTAGAGCTACAGAAAATTGAAGGGAACAAGAGGCTTTTGATTTTGATATAAATAAATAAAATATAAATTTAATAATTAATCACTTTATATTGTATCTTTTTATAATACTTTTATTTTTTACAAAAGACAA